CTGGCAACGAAAGAGAAAAGGAGGTGAGAATGGCGCATACGGGTGTAAGGAATCTTTCTCACTTTTTGTCTGTTTCTCTCTCTCTATCTATATATTTCTCTCCTCTCTCTCCCTCATCTCTCTCTTCTTCTCTCTCTCTCTCTCTCTCTCTCTCTCTCTCTCTCTCTCTATATTATATATATATTATATATATATATATATATATATATATATATATATTTATCTCTCTCTCTCTCTATCTATCTATATTCATCTCTCTCTATCTATCTATCTATATTCTCTCTCTCTCTCTCTCTCTCTCCATCGCCTCCCTCTCCTCACTCCCTCCCCATTCCCTTCCCTTCCCTTCCCTCCCTCTCTATCCCTCTCCTCTTCCCTCTCCTTCTCATATTCAAAATATTGAAATCCCCCCCTATGCAACTGCCTAAGACACAATTGCCTGCTTCCAGTCAGCTGGGATGACTACAAAACGCCAAGGACAGAAGGTAACAGCAAAAACAAGTGTTATAGAAAGGAAATCGCCCACTAGGACTCTCTCTCTGATACAGACCGAAGGACCGAGTGGGGAAAGGAGAGAGGAAGAGAGAGAGAGGGACGAAGGGAGGGGGGGTGGAAGGGAGGAGGAGCGGTGGAAGGAGAGGGGAGAGAGGGTTGTGATAGGGGTGAGGAGGAAATAGGAGGAGCGAGGAAAGACAGACAGACAAACAGATGACAAAGATGAGAATAGGTGAAGGAAGATGAGAGAGAGCCAGCGAAGAGAGAAAAAAAAAAAAGAAAAAGAGATGAGAGAACAAAGAAACAAAAGAAAGAAGAAAAAGAAAAAAGAGACGACTAAGAGAGAAAAAAAAAAAAAGAGAAAGAAAAAAGAGAGAAGAAGCAGAAGGCAAAGAAACAGACAAAAGAAAAAAAAAAGAAAAGAGAGAATGAAAAAGAAGAGAGAGAGATGAGGAGAGAAGAGCAGAGAGAGAGGAGAGAAAGAAGCCAGCCAAAAGAAGGAAAGGAGCAAGAGGAGTGAAATGAAACAGAACAAACAAAAGAAGATAAGTACAATTATATGCAATAAGAGTGAAACTGCTAATCGGCGTCCTTTAAAACCTCGCGTTACCTTCCCCACACCTGTGACCTAGGCACAGGATCCCAGCTGGAACGCCACATAAAGAGTTAAATAAATAAATAAGTTACAAAATAAATGGATAATGCTCTCCCCTTCTCCCCCCTCTTTCCTCCCTCTTTCTGCCCCCCTTTTTCTCCCTCCATCTCCTCCCTTTTTTCCCCTTTTTTTACTCTCTTTTTGCCCCTCCATCTTCCTCCTCTTCCCTCCTCTCCCTCTCTTTTAGAAGCTTCCCTCCTCCTTCTCCTCCTCCTCCCCCCACCACCCTTCCTCTTCCTCCTCCTTCCCCTCCTTCCCTCTCTTTAGAGGCTTTCCCTCCTCTCCCCTCCCAGTCCAACCCCTCCTTCTCGTCCCTCCTTCCCTCCTCTCCCTTCTTTAGAAGCTCCCTCCTCTTCTTCCCTCCTTCCCCCTTCCTCCCCTCTCTTTAGAAGCCTGCCTCCTCCACCCCCCTCCTCTTCCCCTCCTCTCCCCTCTCTTTAGAAAGCCCTCCTCCTCCCTCTCCTCCTTCCCCTTCCTCTTCCTCTCTTTAGAGCCTCCCTCCTCCTCCTCTCCTCCTTTCCCTCTCTTAAGAAGACCTCCCTCCTCCTCCTCCCTCCTTTATCCCTCCTCTCCCTCTCTTTAGAAAGCTCCCCTCCTCCTCCTCCCTCCTTTCCCCTCCTCTCCCTCTCTTAGGACCTCCTCTCTTCCTCCCACCATCTCCCCTTTCTCTTCCTCCTCCTTCCCTCTCTTTCCTCCCTCCTTCCCCTCCGTCTCCCTCCTTTAGAGCTCCCTCCTCTCCTCCCTCTTCCGTCCTCCCCCTCTTCAGAAGCCTCCCCCTCCTCCCCCCTTCTTCCCCTTTCCCAAACACGCGCCGAAACAGGTAAACTCATTAATTCCTGAACGCTTAACGAAAATTCCTCGCGAGCAGGTACGCTCTTCTTCCCCTGAGAATAACACGTGTAATAAGACGATCCTGAGGAGAAGACCGATGCGACCGGCCGTCCGTTGCCAGGCAGGAGAATCGGGAGTGCTATGGCGCCTTCGGTAACTAGGCTATGGTCACGCAACTTCTTTGAAAGCTTGAGGTAAATCCCCTGAAGGTAAAAGGGGTGTTCCTTTCCCTTTATTAGCGTGAGGTAAATCTCTGCTGTCCTTTTTCTTTCTCTCTTCTGTGTTTTCTTTCCTCTCTCGCTCTCGCTCTCCCGCTCTCTCTCTCTCCTCTTTTCTTTCCTCGTCTCTCTCCTTTCTCCTCTTGTCTTCGTTTTCTCTCTTCATGGGCGTCTTATCGTGACTGTATCACTTCTGACCTCAGAATTATCGAGATCTGTTTTATTTTTCTCGTCTATCCTGTGCGATTTAAGAGGTCATCTACATAACTTGTCTTTGCTCTTGCCTCCTTTCTCGCTTCCACGTTTGTTGTCTCTGTCTGTCGTCTGTCTCTATTCTCATTCATTTCCCCATCTTTTTCTTCCTCTCCCCCTCTCCTCTCTTTCTCTCTCTCTCTCTTCTCTATATCCTCTCTTCCTCCCTCCCTCTCTCTTTCTTCTTCTCTCTCTCTCTCTCCTCTCTCTCTCTCTCTCTCTCTCTCTCTCTCTCGCTCTATTTCCGTTCCATGAACTTTCTGCCGTCACTTGACCTTGGCTCTTCATATCCCATTCCCTTCAAAAATCCCCGTAATATCCTGCTTTCTTTTCATCCTTCCCCTTCCCTCCGGGTTTTATCTCTTTTTACCTTTTCTTTTCTCCTCTCCTTCCTTCTCCTTCTCCTTCTCTCTCTCTCTCTCTACTCTCTCTTCTTTCTCCTCTCTCTCTTCCTCTCTCTTCCTTATCCTCCCTCACCTCGATCCTCCTTCCCTCCCTCCTCTTTCCTTCTGTCTCGTCCTCCCCCCCCCCACCATTCCTTGGACGGTCGCAACAAGTAAGTTCTGAAATACCAATACTCAGGGGGGAGGGGGAGGTGGGGAACAGAGGTGATAAGGAAAATATAGATAAGTTAACTGGAGGAGGTGGGATAATTGGCAGACAGGACGTAGGGACAGACGCGTTGTACTTAGATGCATGTGTGTGTTGTGTGTACATATATATATTATATATATATATATATAATATAATAATATATATATTATATATATATATATATATTATTATAAATGATGTGTGTGTGTGTTTTGTGTGTGTTTTAGAGTGAGAGAAAGAGGAAAGGACGATAGAGAGAGAGAGGAGAAGGAGAAGAAGAGGAGGAGCGAGAGAGAGAGAAGAGAGAGAGATAGAGGAGAGAGAGAGAGAGAGAGAGACTATAAAGAGAGGAGAGAAGAGAGAGGAGAGAGGTATGGAGAGGAGAGAGGTATATGTGAGAGACGAGGTTAGACGAGAAAGGAGAAGGAGACTGAGAGAGAGAAGAGGAAATGAGAGAGACAGAGGATCAGAGAAGAAAGAGAAAGAGAGAGATGACAAGAAAGAGAAGAGAAAGAAAAAGAAAGAAAGAGAGAGAGACACATAGACAGACAGACAGACAGACAGACAGAGAGCTGACACGAGGCGAGCGGCTTCTCTTCTCACTTCCAGCCATCTCGCCCTACTTGGCAACACTGCAAGGAAAGTATCGAGACGTCTTATTCGCCGCCTTCCTTTGACCTATCCTTCCTATCCTCTCTCATCTCTTGTTCTATCCCTGAGCAGGAAGGAGGAGAATAAATAAGAAGAGGGGAGGAGGAGGAGGAGGAGGAGGAGGACGGAGGAGGAGGAGAACGAGAAGAGAGGAGGAGGAGGGAAAAGGAGGAATAGGAAAAACAAAAGGAGGAGGAGGAGAATAAGAAGAAAAAAAGGAGGGGAGGAGGAAGGGGAGGAAGAGGAGGAAAGGCGGGGAAGACATATGGCTTCCAGGAGGTACGCGGGAGTACTCTGCTTATTCACGCCTACTTTGGGTGTTTTACGAAAAGCGGGAGAGTGAAAAAAGAGAAAAATAAAGAATGGGGAGAAACGGAATACCACGCAAATATGCTTCTTATGCGTTACTTAAATATAAAATATAAAAGAGAGATACAAAGTAGAGAGAGAGAGAGAGAAGAGAGAGAGAGAGAGAGAGAGAGAGAGAGGAGAGAGAGAGAGAGAGAGAGAGAGAAGAGAGAGAGAGAGAGAGAGAGAGAGAGAGAGAGAGAGAGAGAGAGAAAGGTTAAGAGGTGTACCATCATGAGGATGTTGTGACCGACTGAGGCACAGACTGCGGCAGATCATCATAATATCAGCCAACTGTATATATGAATATACAATGCCTTGCCGCCATCTCTTTGCAAGAAGTTGGAGAAAGAGAAGAAAATACAATTTGGAGCTAAAATGCAAATCAATATACAGGTACAGATGTATTTTTCTTCGTTAATCCCCCCCTCGTGAAGGATGCTACACCTTTAAAACTGTTAATTGCGGTTATAAAAGCTAAAACTATTCCCGGAGAGGATTTACGCCAGTCGCCCCTCTAACGTCACCCTAGCGGACACGAAAGAAAACGGGGATCGAAATTTCTCCGTGTTTTCCCTTTCGAGGCCGAGAGACCCGCTCAAAGAGGCAGCTGAAGACATCCAAGGGAGAGAGAGAGAGAGAGAGAGAGGGAGAGAGAGAGGAAAAGTCGCTCCTCCCTTAAGGCGCAGAATATAACTGGCGCATTTCTGTTTCCACGTGGCGTCTCTCTCTCCACCCGACTTCTCTTTCCGCGCGTTTCGGAGGGGGGGGGGCGGCGGGTGACGTCAGCGCCAATCTGCCGGTTCTCTCTTGGCCCTAGAAATATAACTTTGTTTTGCCCTGCGAGACGTCATCCTACATATTTTTTTAAAAGCAAGGGGGTAGTTATTCTCGTGTGGGGGGGAAGGAGGGAGGGAGGGGGGAAGGGGGGAGATGCATTGCTGCCTTCTTCATGT